GCGGGCGGGCAGAGACACGATCTCGCTGGCCAGTGAAAGTGGTAAGTTTTTTATAGGAAATGGATATTGGGCATGGTTTGTTGTTTCAATCTATTCGCATAACAGTCAATTCCAGCAATGTAAATAGCTCGGAAGATTGCTGGCTTGTTTGAACGCTACTCACTGTCTGCTCTGCTATGTCCTCCGTACGGGGCTTCTTTGGAGGCGCCTGGAAAAACGAATCTATTGTTCTCTTTTTTGACATGATGATACATAAAACGCGTTAGAGGAATCGAAACAACGGCTAGCGCTCTGGCGCACCCGTTTTACTTAAAATATCTTTTGCCTCGACTCATGATGTCAGTCAATCTCAGCCGTTTGTTAGTTACATGTAGCTTGCCGCATAGGTAACGCCACAGGGCTCGAGAAACTGTATCAGTACATGTACTGTGGCGGTGCACCAGGTACTCAAATTTAATTCTCCACTGCGTCTCATATTTTCCGACCCTGGTCACACAGTATGGATCACAGGTAGAGTCACATATCCAGCTTGTATAAAACTAGCATCAAAATTATTCAAGCATTGTGAGATTTCACCCATACCCAGAGCCGGGCTCAAATCATGGAGGTTAGTCCAGTCTAAGTCGTTCGGCAAATTCACTCATCGCATTTTTTTTCTCCAAAGTATAAAGAAGAGGGTTGTTAACATGAGCCACAGCCTGCGAAAGCAACTGAGCAAATCGACATGGCCACTCTGTTCCGTGCGCCGGCCGCCCGGGCCATGAAGTCCCTGGACAAATCACTATTCTTCAAAGTCCTGCCTACATCAGCTGCGCTTGTGAGCCAGAACACGCTGCTGTCGAGGTATCGCAAGGCGCTGGAGAAGTCGGAGGAGCTGATCCAGGTGGAAAAGTTCAGTCCCATTGCTCCGCATCCTGACCCAGAGGCTGCGAAGGCGGGGAAGAAGTGTCTGGTTCTCAAACCCAGTGTAGACCCAGCCTGTAAGTCCTGAACATATCACATGGCTCTATTGTGCCATGGCCGATTTTCTTCGTTTTAAAGACCCTTAGTTAACATGAAATCGACATACAGCACCAGAAACATGGAGTTCCGTGCTGAAAAAGGGCTCAGAGGATGGCGAGCTAGAAATCATCCCCTACAAAGCAGACTTCGACTACACTTACTGGAGATACCGTAAGTTACATCTCCTAGTTCCGTTGAGTCCATAGTAGCAGGTCGGCTAACTTGTGGAAAAGTTGACATTATGAAATCTATCCTTCCTGAGGAGTTGCACGACGAGATCCCATCAGGTTTCAACACAGCGGGACATGTCGGTAAGTCAGGACTCCCCCAAGACTGGTTGAGTGGGCTTGAAAAACTCATGGTTCATTGCAGCACATCTCAACCTCAGAGAGCAATATCTACCATACAAGGAGGTGATCGGCCAAATCATCATCGACAAAAACCCGGCTGTGAAGACCGTCATCAACAAGATCGACGATGTCGGAACTGCCAACGAGTTCAGAACATTCAACTACGAGGTGCTAGCAGGACCCGACGACCTAGTCGTCGAGGTCACCGAGGCCGACTGCGTCTTCAAGTTCGACTACTCCAAGGTCTACTGGAACTCGAAGCTCAGCAACGAGCACCAGCGGCTGATCGACATCTTCAAGCCCGGCGAGGTGGTCGCGGACGTCATGGCAGGCATCGGCCCCTTCGCCGTCCCCGCCGGGAAGAAGGGCGTCTTCGTCTGGGCCAACGACAAGAACCCCGAGAGCCACAAGTATCTGGAGGCCGCCATCGCTAGGAACAAGGTCTCCGAGTTTGTGAGGCCTTTCAACCACGACGGGCACAGCTTCATCCGCGACGCGGCGGACTCTGTCCTCGAAGCCTCCAAACGCAAGGAACACGCCGTCATCAAGCCGCCCAAGCCCTCGAGGAAGGCCCCTCCCCCCAAATCGCCCCTCAAGGACATCCTCATCCCCGTGCCCCCGACCATCTCCCACTTCGTCATGAACCTCCCGGCCTCCGCCCTCGAGTTTCTGCACAACTTCCGCGGCCTCTACTCCGGTAACGAGGAGCTCTTCGCCCCCCACACCGAGACCAAGCTCCCCCTCGTCCACGCCCACTGCTTCGCCCCCAAGCTCAACGACGACACGACGTACGCCGAGGTCCTGGGGCGCATCGAGAAGGAGATTGGCGTCGCGCTGCAGCACGGCGACGGGGAGGTGGAGGGCCAGTGCAGCATCATCGAGGTCCGAGACGTCGCGCCGAACAAGCGCATGTTCTGCGCCAGCTTCCGGCTCCCAGCCAGCGTCGCCTTCGCCCCGAGGGCGTAAAGCGTTTTCGTTCTCCAGCAAAAAAAAAGGGCTCCAAGGCCCCCGTCCGGGCTGGAACCCCTGGGACCCATCTTTATGGTTCCCTTCCCCCCCTCCTCCCATGTTTTCTCATGCACGACGCTCCCGGAGGGGCAAACCGAACGGCATAGACGCTCGCTCGGCCAGGCGAGGGGTCCCGGCACTCGCAGGGACTTTTTTATTATCTACAACCTGCTCTGGCTGTCCCATTGTGCCTTATCTTGTGCCCTGTGAGCTCTTCGGCCCCTCCAATCAATGGCCCTCCGAACTTGGTGGCCGCATGCGTGGTCGCCAGCCCCGTCAAACGGCCGTGCCAACAAGCTCTACGACACAGATGTGACATATGACAAAACACCAAGAGGGGGGGGATCGGCGATGGCGGCTGTGCCGTTCGAGGGGTCAATCTTATCCTCAAGGGGTTCTAATCGCATGTGGCAGGGTCGAATCTTGGTCGTCAAGGTAATCAGCACCAACGGGCGATAGAAAGAAACACTTCGAATGGGTGCATAGTCACCCTACCAGTCGCATCGCAAAGGGGGAGGGCGGCCTCTTCCTTTGCCTAGACACCTTTGGACTTCAAGTGGTGTGCCGTAGGTCTTGGTGGGTGGGTGGCTCAACTACTTGGCTCGATCTCGTTGGATGTTTCCAGTCGACAAACCTCTTCCGCGTCGTATTCAAGTTGCCTCACAAGGATGAATAGCCTGTCAACCTATGCACTCTAAATAGAGGCGGGATCCATCTAAACTTAGGGCGAAATATATTTCACCAGTAGTTTTATGATACTCCTGGAGCCGTAGCGAATTCATCACAGGATAATCAAAGTCAAGATCTTTCCAACATAAAAAAGACCATGTCTTCAGTAAATAGCAACAATCAATTGGATTGCCTCGTACTTTTAGCAACTACAGTGGCCGTGTAACCATAGAGTCAGATTATGTATTTACGGGCGCTTATCGTACTGTTCAGCTAGCCCGCCAAAAAATATCAAGAGAATATCACAACGGTTAATCATTCAGGCTTCTGCTCTACCTTCTTCGGCCATGAATTAAGACGTCGGCCATATGCGAACAGTAGCCGCTGATCCCCTTGGCCGAGCCCATGAGGTATCCTGATCTATCCGGCTATGTTGGTTGGTTTATCATAGGTGTTCTTCACCTATGCCGAGCAGAAACGTGCTTTTGCATGTAGCATTCTTTATCGTAGGCCGGAGGTGGCCCTCCGCCGAGGTTCAGAACTCCGCAATAGCCCCGGCATTGTGGGACATCCTATCCCAGTCACGGCGAGCCTGGAGGGGGGCATGCGAGAACTTCTCCATCCTCTAAACCGTCGTGGCGAGGATCCATGCATACGCCTTCGTGTCGCGATGACATGGGTGCAAGCTAGACACGCATGTCAGCGTAGGTAAAATGCCCGACAACTGGCGCATCAAGCTTTCGGCTACAATAACTTCCTAGCCCGGACGAAAGGTTTACCACTTACACTAGTGCAACAGACGCAAGGACGAGAATAAACAGGGACCCAGAGTGCATGGGCTGCCACCCATATATTTATGATGGAGGGTAGCCAGATACACACCGATATTACATTGCATATCCGTACTTGGCTGAAGAGAGAAGTGACTGATCTTGTGTAATCGGTTGGGATGCCGAGGGGTAGTATTGCAGATTCTGAGGTGCCACATGCATAACACTTCCGTATCATGGTGGCACCGATAGGGTATCGTTGCCCAGAACGGAACAGACCAGAACGTAAGGAGAACAGAGAATGGTGCTCAGGGTAGTTTGCAAAGTTGCATGCTTTCCACAATACCTCCTGCGCCATGATGCGATTTCGACAGGATGCATGGCGCCCACCTAGCATATATCAGGGATCGATTGTTACAATTGGCTCGTATTCCGATTTGATTGCTCGGGGATGAGTGATCACTAAACGCCGAAATGCGGTTCGATTGGCCAAGGATAGGCGAATGTACAGAGCTTCAGAGGCTCAAGGAGACAGCTGCATGCCAACATCCTGGTAGAACCCACCTTTAGGGCCATATCAATTTCTTCAGTGAGGTAAGAGTCCTGTCAACAGGTTTGACTTCATACAGACATAGTGGGAGGTTGGCGAGGGAAAAGTTTATCCCTCTGCGCGTTATCTCCCCGAGGCCTCACCGACGGCGGTTGTGCTCGTCAATTGAAGATAAGCGACATGGCTGGCCGGTGGCTGGAAGCTCTGGGCTAAAAGTTAAAAGGAGGCCGCTAACTCCTCTGCGAGGCGTGGGCGTAGAAACACGAAGCTCGATAAACGGCTACACCAGGCAGAGCTGCGAGTGCTTGACCTGGGACTCGGAGCTTATCGACTGCCTTGGCTGGTTGATGCAGGTTGCTTGCAGCACTGGTGCCGTCCTGCGCTGCTTGCATATGTACATGCATGCGTGCGTGCGTGCGCGTGCATATCAATCCGGGTTGGAGGCGCTGGAGAGGAGCCAGCCAATGGCGGCCACAGAGGCCGACATGCTGATACGGAGTTGGCCAAGGTGGTTCGACAAGTCAACGCCTGTCATCCGATGACCTTGCAGGCACTGCAGCTTTGGCGCTAAATTGCTGGGGAGGGGTTTCATGAGAGACGAATTACGTTGTGTAAAAGTAGATTTTGTGAGGAGAAGTTGACAAAACAAAAATGCCTGTAGATGCAAACAAGTACAAGGAGGTTGGTGCCTGCCCAACCAGAAGAGAGAGAAAGACCAGAGCAGGTGCGAGTATCAATGCAGGCAAGAACACTCCTGCCCTACCTGATACCTCGATGCTTCAGTGGCTGGCACGCGCTAGGCCAATGGGTAAACTCGGCAGGTACGGCTTTGAAATCCCCGTTTTGGAAGTTTCAGACGAGAAAGAAGACCAGCTCAACGTCCAACTTCGATGCAGCCATCCTCGGCCTACAGCTTGGGCAATCGCATGTGCACTCCCCTCATCGTGCCTTGAAGTCGTCGGGGACAACATGGATTTGGAAATGGTCACGCGAGCAAACAACTCATTCCGCACCTACCAGAGTGTGAGTAGCAGCCCGAGTCTTCTCCTCCTCGTATACCTAATCACATTGGTACCCATCACACAGCTTATCTTCTCCTCATTAACTATTTCAAGGTGTAGACCTGGAGGTTTACATAGCCCTTCTCTCTGGAACACAGGCCGGCGTTGCCGGCGCAAGCTAACAACAAGGACATGCGGCTTAAGCGTCGCTAGTACCAATCCCTACTTACCCGCATGGTGATCGCTGGATCAGGAGGGGACAAGGGGTGCCTCAAGCGAGGAAGCGAGGAGATCCATGGATGGCTCCGCACCACAGCACACCTACTATGTACGGCAATGTAGGGTAGGAATGGACAAGTCGCTGTACGACGACACCTTGTTGGTATTGACGAGCCCTTGCATGCTCAAAGCCGTTGTGAACTTGTGTTCATCCGTACCCTGTACGGGTTCCCGGGTGCCACCGGGTTGAGCGTCCACAGCGAATTGGCAAGACGAGGCTTCAACGACCGTGGCGAGCGACTACGAGCGTTTCGAGGGGTCGTAAGAATGACATTTCATCAAGCTGGCAAGCTGGCCAACCAACGCAGTGGTCATCGCAAAAGGGTGTGTATTCATTCGTGCAGGCTTCCTACGGTTTCCTACGTCGGGTATCAGCTATACCACCACCACCCGAATGACACTACCGACCCTTACATCCTCCTGCACCAGTTAAGCCAGGCCAGTTTAGGTGGGTGTGATACACAGCATGATATTTGCAACGGTCGTGCATATATGCACATACTTACATCACTCAAAGATCATAATCAGGCCAATGCGACTGTGACTGTGACCAACCATATCATCTCGAGAACAATACTCTGGCGTGTGTGAGTTGCAATATGCTACAAATGATAGTCTTGTCAGTATTTGCTAGTTTATGCAAACTAAACAAGGCCACCACTACTATCTTCCTAGTTGTCAGCCATTGTGTTCCTATTATATCATAGTGTAACAGAGATGATCCTCCAACCTGGCACGTTCCTAGATACCTTGCCTATAATGATGCAACCATCGCTAGGAGAGTTCGGTTACGACCCCAAAACCCCTGCTGCAGAGTCGTCGTTCCGGTTTGATGTATTGGCCCATTCACAAGAATTGAAAGATGGCTGCTTCGTCACACGAAGTGGCATGAAAGTCTATTCAGCCATTGATGCGAGGCCAACGCCAACGCGTCCCGCCAGCTACGTCAAAATGAGGGGGTGGATTACATGATAACCAGGCAAGTCCACGCAATCTTTCGTAGTTCAGAACTAATGCTAGTGGCTTGGCTGCAGCCCGCCAGGTCTGTGCAGGCTTGCATGAATGGCATCTTAGTTGCTTAGTTACTAAGGCGTATATCTTTTTGAGTGCAGATCACATTAGTAGTTGCCAGCATTTGGCTGGAGGCCCTCGGGAAGACGCGCGGATCGTAAACTTAGAACCAGGCACATACCATTCCAGGAGGAGGGTGTGGCTCTTCGAGGGCGCGCTGTTTACAAGAATAACCAGCGGGACATTTTCGGGCGGCCCCTTGGTGGCCAGCCTAGTCAGGGCGAATCACGATCAGCTCTCGTCTTATCTAAGTTTCGAAGCCTCCAAGTCTGAAGTGCGCCCTCGCCAGCCAATGGAGCAGATAGGCTTTGGTCGTGGACGCGTTCGTGTTACCTTCTTTGTGCGCCGTGCCTGCAACGAAGCAAACCAAGAGAGAGCTTATCTGCCCAATCACCGGAGCGTGTTGGCTGAAGCTGGGACCATTCAATATGCATGCGGCATTGGGCTGCACCCCGTAGCTAACGGTTGTTGGTATGGCTCCCAAATCAGCATCCATCAACCCCTTCTGTCTGAGACACCGAAAACGGGAAGCAAAGACAGAGCCAGGGAGCTCATCTCAAGACTTCTAATAGACCGGAGCATGCGGAGTGAAGAGCCCGATAGGCGTTGAGGGTGGTGTTATCTTCAGTCGGTATCAAGCCAAACAAAACGGCATGCTGGTAGATAGCGTGAGCTATTCAGGGCGGGATATGAGCAGTGGGGGTCAATTGAAAGTTGGGAATGTGATGGAATTTGCTTCGTGTCTAAGGGTCGCTGTCGTCGGGCCGTCATGCGATCCCTTGAAATTGAGAATTGGGCAAATTCTGCCATGGTGAAGGCCTAAGCGCGGAGGCGACACATTACTCGCAATCTCGCCTCAAGTCTGTCAATTCTACCACCCATGCCCCCGCTATTGTCGGCCAGCATGGATCGGCACCAATGATGCAAACCCTGAACTTGTCCCGGGCTTTGTTTCGCGTTTCCTGGCTCCTGGTTGGTGGCTGAGGCGTTCGTCCCCCGCTGACCGACTGACCGGCTTGGCCATGTTTGCGCTGGAGGACGCCTCTATCGAAGCAAGATGTCGATGGCAAGGAAGACGAGAATGCGCCGGCCAAGGCAATGGGCTTACTATTCCCTAGCGGCGACTACCAAGGCTAGGCAGGCAGGTAACGTTTGTTGATCCCCACGGCCTAGGCCTGAAGAGTTTCAATTCATTTTCGCCGCAATGTATCCGTTGAGCCAAATACATAGCTTCGGGGGCATCGTAGTCGGTGGCCTCCACCATCAGCCCACACTGTCACGTATTGCTGCCTGCCTGCCAGGTCTGGAGACTGCCCACAACGTGATGCCGTCACGACGCAGCTCCAGGCTTGGGTCCAGGATAAGACGACATCCCAGTTGCAACGCCCGGCCAAGCTGCCTACCCCTTTGGGTCGTCCGTCTCGCCGTCCATGCAAAGTCGAGAACTGGTCGAGCCCACAGATATCTCGATATGGGTGGGTGGAGGCGTGCAGCACCCTCCTTTCTCCACCCTGGATGTCAAGGCTAGGAGGGCGCAAGGACTCCCCTGTATACCGGCTCTGCAGCCTGTAAATTTCGGCGGGGTGGGTCGCAAACCTTAGCATTGTCGGGTCGTCGAGGTACCGCGGGCCCAGATAGTCCCTCAGGTATCGGTACTGGGCGAGCTCCCCGGTGGCAGTGGGCAGTCCCCGTACCCATACCTGCTGCCCCTACCAATCACGACATCCACCACTGCAAGTCGCTAGCCCGCGACGGCCCCCGCCCCCCAAGCCACGCACTGCAGCGAGTGTCTCCCCAGCACGCTTTCTGCTAAGTGCCCTGCAGTCAGGTCGACTTACAGGCTACAGCCTCCATGCCCTGGTGGAGCTTGCTTGGGTCGGGTCTGGTGCTTTGCAGGCCGCTCGCATCAGTGCGCTTCGTGGTCCGCCGTGCTGGTCACCCACTGGTTTATTTTTTTTTAACTTACCGACGGCGAGATCCCCATCGTCCCTTTCACCCATCCATCGCATGCCGATCGTTTTGTCCTGATCATCCTGCCTCGTCCTCCCCCATTCCTATCCACCTACTTCTTCTGCTCCATTCCTTGCATTCTCTGAAGCCTCCCCTGTGTTTTCTTTTCTTTTTGCATTGTCTCCTCCACATTCTCCATCCTCCTCCCACTGTCTCACCCTCGGCCTTTGGATCGGGAAGTCTGTGAAACCTTCTCTCCCGCGGACCCATTTCCCTCGTTTTCGGCCTTCTGATCCGCCGTGACTCAGCCTCGACCTGCATTTAATTCCCCGTGTGTCGGTTTACTGAAAAGAGGCTTGCGCTCTGTCTTCGTCTGCACCCACCCCACGAAGATTTGTTATCGGCCGCAAGCGACCCTGAAATTCGCCTCGCCGTTGGCGCGTTGCACCTCATTTATGCCCGGTTCTCTTCAATCGCCCCCGACCTGCATCTCCTCTGGACTCGAACCGCACTAAAATTGGTCCCCATCAGAGCCCTCTCCCTGTGCTGGACACTCAACGGCGGCTCGACTCCGCTGAAGAGTCACTCCAAGCCACAATATACTCACATCTTTCCTGTCACCGAATCCTCCATGACTGTTTGAGGAGCAATTGTTTTTTTCCTTTCTTCCCGGTGCTGCGGCATCTCTTACCCGAGGACCGCACCTGCCAGCATGGAAGTCGTCCTTCCATCCGAGGAGAGCGGCTACTTCAGCTCTGGCTCGCTGCGTCGATCCCACTCACAGGCCCAATTCGTCAACACGCCCACGGCGACATCTCTCGAGAGGTCGTATAATCCTGTTACCAGCTCATACTCTCAATCCGCGCCCTCCACTGCATCCTCATCTCCCCGCACGCATCACCCAGATTCTGCCGATCTCAGCTGCTCCTCAACCCCCGCAAGCAACTTTTCACTGCCCTACGACTTCGACGACACTCTGGCTATTGACGAGACTGCTATCGACGATGACTTCGGCTTCCCGTCATACAAGCGGGATCAGCTGTTTCTTCAGGCCCCCTCTGGCACATACGAAGAGCCTCCCCCGAGCCCTAGAACCGGCGACTCATACACGCCATCTCCTGCCGACTACGGTAGCGCAACCGATACACCTAAACCTGACACTCCCGAATGCTCCGAGCACGCCGAAGACGACACCGCTGTGACCACCCGTCCGTCTCGTCAAGTGGACTATCTATCGCATGAGTGGAGAGAAGAAGATATCTGGTCTTCGTGGAGATACATTGTATCTCGCCGGGGCGAGTATCCGAACAGTGCTAGGTTGGAAAATGCATCTTGGCGTACATGGATGAAGTCAAAGAACAACCTGAGCACCGTGTCACCGGAAACCCTTAATTGGTAAGTGGGCAGAGATTTCCATGCCTTTTCCGTTTTGTGTATTGACCCAATCTCTAGGCTGAAGGAGTGCGATGTCACCTGGCTATATGGGCCCCTGCAACTGGGAGAGCGAAAACTCTCACCCTCCAAGACGGAATCCTCAAGCGCTTGCCTGTCAAAGACCGATTCTTTTATCGGACTCCACAAGAAGCCTATTCTGAAGAAGCGAAGTATGTCTGAAGTCATGCTTCAGAGATCCTTGTCCACAGCTTCTCTGTTGAAACAGGCTACCGCTGTGGTTCAAGCTCAGGAGACGAAGAAGGTGCTCAGGCCAAGCTTGGTTAGGTCGAGGACTGATTTTGTGACATATCCCTTTTCAAGTCGACGGATGAGTCACGATCTTACCAATAGTAGTACAGCTGCCTCCACCGAATCGTCAGGTATCACATCGCCAAATACGGAGAGGAAGCATATCCACTTCAATGAGCAGGTCGAGCAATGCATCGCCGTCGAGATTAAGGGTGAGGATGACGATGAGGTTGATATTGAACCCTTGAATTCTGACAGCGACTCCGACGATGGCGTGGTCATGAAACGATCAAGGTCGAAGAAAATCATGCCTAAAATGAGGAAGAGGAACCGAGGCTCTTTACCTCCCGAGGGGAGAACGATTGCAATGCTTCCCTCTACTACGCTGAAATATCGCGAAGACACGCCCGAACCGCAAGAGACTGCCATGAAGCACTCACGCAGTCCTGTCCTCTCCCCCTCGTCTTCGCAGGAGACTCTTCGACCTTCTCGTCGCTCAACCCGATTCATGTTCGGCGATGACGACGATGACGAGGAAGATCCAACTGACGGCTTCTGCGATCCTAACGCTGGCTGGCGATCTCCTACGTATGGTTCTGGTGGGGGGCTTCAACGATCAACATCTTCGGGGAGTTTAAACGAGGTGCCGGGTGGAATGCGGCGAACTCCATCCGGCATGTTGATGCCTAGTGAAGACATCGATGCCGCTACAGGTGACACTATCTTCGGTCGTGTTATTGACACTGTCAACACTGCCCGAGATATTGCGCATGTCATCTGGAACGTCGGTTGGAGAAAGTAACTCCCTACCTACGATACGCATCATTCTTCCCTATTGTATCCGCCAACGATGTCCTTTTGTCAGTCCCTTGATCTGACGAGAGAACATCAACTTCTGGCCGCAGCGCATGGCTGTTCGGCCTCGGCAGAGTCATTATGCCACACACTTCTAATATTCAAACATGACCACCTTGGCCGGCGACAATGATGGATATATACATGACTAGATGTCTTTAATACCTATCCATCACTGGCGACAGTGTCGCCGCGTGGATGTTTGCTGGTTTTTCGAGCTGGTAGATCTCACTGATCAAGGACCCCATTTTTTCCGAGGCACCTTGATCTGTTTCCCTCATTTCTTCCCACTCATTTCGGTTTCTTATTGTTCATTCTTTTCCCTTACTCTCCTTTTAACAAATCATAGGCTGGCATATGGTGTTTCGGTTTCTGCTTTTTTTTCTTACGGTCTGGGCGGCTTCATACAGAGAATTCAAGGATCGGACCAGGTGTATTCGGTTTGTCAATAACACACGGTCAGGACACACGACGGTCGGATAGGTACTTGGACATTCGGGCGAGGGGGGCACAAAAATCACTGCATAGGGCGCAAGGGTGATCAAAAGCCACCCGCCGGAGAAGGGTGCGAGAAAAAAAAAGGACGCCTCCTACCTTCGGCGAGGTTCATCTGGGTTTGGATTTGTACATAGACTTAGCACACGCAAATAATAAGCACACAATCAAAACAACAACTACTTCCCCTTCCTCCTCCCTATCGTGATGATTTCTTCCTCGACACATCTTGTGTCACCGCCTATTTTCGCCACCGCCCTGAACATGGATGTGCAACATTGGGGGAGAGGAGGAGGGGGGCGCAGGCATAATTCCTTTTTCCGCGTGGTCACAAGACGCAAGCCCAGCTGCGGGCTACGTCTGCAATGATGCAAGGTCCATGGGGGGGGCGTGGCTAAGCGTGGCATCGTTCTTTGGTCCGGGAGTGTGAAACCGGTTGTGGAGCAAAAAAGCCGCTTGGTCCCTGAGCTCAGAATGGTTGGACGATTTATCGTGAACGAGGTCATTTCCCCAACAAAAAAAGGTCCAGGGTCCAAGTGTGGGGTCCCCACAGTCTCAGCGCCCGGGGCGTGACGTATGGGGGATAGGCAAGGATGGGCGCGGCCGTCTTACGCTTGGACGGGGGGAGTGATGCCAGGTCATCAAGTGTGAATACTACGATGTAATGCCGAGGTATTACTGCTGTTTGATTGATGTGTTGGGTGACATCACAGGGTGAGGATTGGCTGGCGGGCGATGCTAGTGAATTCCTGAATTGGGACATTTGACGCGAGTGATCCAGCATACGTAGAGCCGGATAGTCTTGTTGTAGTTTGTTAATGAGTTAGGTTGAATGTATTCGAGGCTTTTCTGTTTATATGACTCTTATTCTATTGACATTTCTATCATTGCATGTTCATGGACATGTACATCGTAAAATATGGTACACAGGGGTAGTAATACAGTCAACGTTGGGCGTTGCGTAATTTGGTGTATATGCGTCAGCAAGATTACACATCCGAGGCGGGTTTGGGAGGCCCCAGGTAGTTCAATGCTTGGACCATGATCTCGCCACTGTGGACGTTGATATCAGTCAGTTCCACCTCGAGCTGATCACCGACTTTCACATCCTTGATCAGCACCTTGTTCTGCAGGCCAATGGCGTCGCAGAAGGCACTAAGACCGTAAAAGTCAAGGTTGCCAACCAGGCCCGTCTTCCATCGTGACGAGACTGTGAAGCGGAACGACGACGGCGCCGTCTTCTCGAAACGCCAAGCCCTTACGAGGGCTATGAGGAGCCAGTCACGGTCGGCTCGGGAAACACGTCGTGACATCTTCTCCCTCATGTGGAGGAGCGAGATTGTGTTTGTCATTTCATCCTTGGTAAAGGGTAGAATACGATCAAGGTCATGCTGAGAGCCGTTGAGCTTGAGTTGGTTCTCATGTTCATAGGCTAGTGCTGCGTGGATTTGCCAGTGGGTGAGGAGATCGGAGTAGCGTCTGAGGGGTGAAGTAGCTTTAGTATACATGTCGAGGCCCATTATGAAATAAGGACCAGGAGTGGCGGCAATCTCTACACCACCTGTGAGGACAGAGAGCTCTGCTCGTTGCTCCATGGATGGCTCAATACCCTTTTGAATCTGGGGATAAAGTTCGTCGGTGGCATATTTTAGGGCCTGCTCATAATTTTGGGCAGACTTTCCATCTTGGCGGTAAGGAATGGGAATTCCGCGGTCAGCACACCAGCGAGCAGCAACCTCACCGGCAAGCACCATAGTATTCCCTACCACGGACGCCATGGGACCATCCTTGAGTTTCACTTCAATAAAAGGGTCGGCGGGAGTGTATTCTTTGGGATCGGCTGAGTCAAGATCTTTGGGGGTTTCGGGGAATGTGACTCGAACAGTTGGTGTAGGAAAGAAATACGGCCACGCGCCTTTGGCTAGCCGCTTCTGGTGAATTGCTTTACCCAGACGACTCAATGTTAGTAAATCATCTTGGGCTGAGGCATCCAAGGATTCGGGGCTTGGGATTGTGCGATCCGGCGGGCTCGGAGGCCTAACGTTTTCGACTCCGACTGAAAATTGAGACGGCGTGACAGTATTAACCACCTCGTCCCCGCAAAAGACAGACACGTCGGCTGGATCTAAGTAGACAACGTTGCCCAGCCGTGTTGGTGCAATCTTGTAGTCCAAGATAGACCCAGAGGAGTTAACCTTGGCGCTAAAGGTAAGGGCGCGAACATCATTTGCAAGGGAATATTCACGGACAAGCTCCGCAAACTCGCCCTTGGGAGCGCCACCCAAGGTACCTGACAGCATAGCCTGAAAGTGACCCCGAAGATAAATATTCTCGGGTAGGAGCTCCATATACTGGGAAAGCTGCGACTTGGGCTGAATGCCTGACGCCGGGTCGGCCGCATGAACATGAATCCAAAACTCATCGTCTTTGCTGGTCCGTTCGAGTGATATACCGTCATCAACCATGGTGGTTCCCGGGCTGTCGATACAAAACACCGTAGCTGATTTCATATCCGTCCGGTACGCTGCGGCCAAGTCTTCTCGTCTAGACTCTTCTAGCATCGGCGGGATATTCCTTGCCAACCCGCCGGATCTTATAATATTCGTTTTGGGGAAGCGGACAGAGTACCGAGAGGGTATTTCCCAGGGTCGAATGGAGCCGATCTCCTGCAAAAAGGTCCATGCTATTGATTGGTCAAGAGATACATCTGGGTAGAGATCTAGGGCACGAAGAATAGTGGCGCCGTAGCCGGGGAATCGTGAGCTGAGTTCGAATAGATCATAACTGGCCCATGATCGAAGAAATGCGATGATATCTAAATCAACATCTGACCACTGCACTTTGTGCAAGGCAGTAGGAACAGATGAGGGGGCAAGAATACCATGCGGGGTCCAATCCCTCGTTTCACGGCTTGCAAGCACTAGAGAGCGGGCCTTTGCAATGAAGCTTTCAAATGGGGTTGGTTCAACCCTTCTCTTCGAAGGGTCCAAGGTGGTGCGAGATTTTTCTGTGGTGTAGTCACGAACCATGGTGGCGACCCGGTTGACTGAGTGGTGAAAGGAAACGGGAAAGACTTCAAATATGTGCTCGCGGCGATGGCAATCACTCGTGGGACTGAGAGGCTTGAAAGCAACCTCATTGCGAGACAGCGATGTGTGGACTGCATAGAGAGCGTAGGGAGGGAACTCGCCGTTTTCTTTCAAAGAAGCAGGTAGTAGGATGTCGGCGATTTCGAAAAGGCTGAGATACTTGACTTCTTTGTCGTCGGCAAGGATTTCTCTGGCTCTGTCCAATTCGTCCATGCTGCCTTGATAAATACGCTGAGAATCCATCGTAAACTTGTTCATCTTATCGATCAAGGAAGAAGCAACGGCTCTTGATGGGCCTTTATCGTCCTGGCGGGCAACATCGAACTCGTCTGGAGTTTTGCAATCCGGGATCTCGGCCAGGATTGGTTCTAACTCTTCCAGGGTAGCAAAATTCGAGACAGTGAAGAAAGACCCAAACCCTACAGTCATTGTCCACCTGCCAGAGGCGCTGAAAAAGTGATACCGACCGCCAGCGAATCCAAGGTAGACAGCCATGACGGGAGCTCTGGTAGCCTGATACCTATCAATACAGTTAGACGAGACAGCGGTGATGGATAGGTTGTGCCTGAAGAACCTCACCTTATCTCAACCAGATCTCCCGGTTTTCTAGAATCCAGGCCTACCTCCAAGAGCGAGGTTCCAACCCAATCATCGGCCACGACAGCGGTCATGCCCGCCCTCGAAGCCTTGAAAGTCTCGAGCGCCGCCGAGCCGGTGGTCTGGGATCTGATGAGGGCATTGGGTGATTTCGTATAATCCAGTTTGTCGTGAATTGGATTTAATATCATGTTCCAGTTCTCATGCGTGGAATTCCATGATGCCAGACGAACCCGGATTGAGAGCGGCTTCGATTTTGTATCAGGCTTCTCGTCATGTTTACCGGGTTGAGATGGGTCCGGGAAGTGCGAAGGACCGAAAGTTTTGGAAATTTCGGTCACCTTTGTCACAGTAGAGTAATGGGACTTGAAAAGTGCGTCAGTATCAAGTGTAGAGAGCGTGGCGGGATAGACGAAGACGGTTGCGAAACTCACTATAACAGAAGGGTTGAGTCTTAGGTTGAGAGGGGAAACCCGCTGAGCTACTAGAGTTGCGCCATGACGAGAGCCCTGGGAAATGCACCTCAAGCATGCATTTGAGGGTTTAGAGGACTGCAGCATAGCGCTGGAGTGAAGCTTCTGCCCACGAAGCGTCTGCGACGTTGTGGCTGGGGTCTGATTGTTGCTACGCGAATCCCGATCCTGACCGTCGTCACCGATTTTTTTTTCTAGAATCGCGGAGGGACGGTATTAGATCACACCAATCTGACCCACCCTGTATTTCGCGCCGGATCCGACATGGAGACCAGACGCGCAATCACGTGATC